TGACTGGAGATGATTGGAGGTGATTGGAGGTGATTGGAGGTGATTGGAGGTGATTGGAGGTGTGACTGGAGATGATTGGAGGTGACTGGAGATGATTGGAGGTGATTGGAGGTGATTGGAGGTGTGACTGGAAGAGACTATGGAGGTGACTGGAGAAGCTGCAACATGAGTTAAGTAGACGTCGGTAACACCGCGTTAAGTAGGCAATCTATAATACAACAGGCAGAGGTTGGCAGTTGACTGGAGTTGACAGGGTGACTGGAGGTGATTGGAGGTGACTGGAGGTGATTGGAGGTGATTGGAGGTGATTGGAGGGGACTGGAGGTGTGACCGGAGGTGATTGGAGCTGACTGGAGCTGACTGGAGCTGACTGGAGCTGACTGGAGCTGACTGGAGGTGATTGTAAAGATTGGAGAGACTTTAGACAGACTGGAAAAGACTGGGAAGATTGGAGTTGATTGTGAATGATTATAATTTGATTATTTTGCCAAGTGTACGAAGACTGGACCAAGTTAGGTACCCCTCGGAGCCACCCCACGGCCCGGCGCCGAGGACGCCCGCCCGTCGGCCAGCACTACAAAGGCCCCATCACTCCTACAGGCGTGCGCGTGACGAACCAGCATGACTCTTAAGGAACCAGGTCAGAAAAGTTGATAAGTAGTGCTGCTGGTGGAGCGCGGCTTGGCTGGTCTTCGCTAAAAGGAACTGCGTCCCTCCTTCTGTGCTTAGAAATGTTGGATGTGTCGTTTGAATTTTCCAGCATTGCTTTTAGAGGTCTGAAAGCATTGCCTCGATAGATCTTATATAGGAGTTCAAATGCGGGTTCAAACGAATGTCGCAATATGAGGGTTGACCCCTGAGAAGTCGAAACATCCGGAGAAGGGCTCAGATCAGCAATCAGCCTCCAACTGCTGCAGTATATGTACTAATCCGTCACACCATCGTCGAGAGCTCCCCCCCTCTTTCGTCTCTCCTCAGCCGTGTAAGCAACCCCCTTTCCCTTGCTTAGAGGCGCCCCAGCCCGGATGGCTTTTCAATGAATCTGGACGGAACGAGATCATCTTGGTCTGTTTGCAGACGAGGTTTCCGGTCCGTGAGGGCGAGTCTATGGGCCGTGGGTGTGCGGGCGGGGCGGGGCGGGCGGGGCGGGCGAGTGCCGAGGATAAGGATCACCGAGGGGTGTTGATTACCGCCGGGCGGCACGGCCGGCCCAGGGGGCTCCGACTGGAGTCCTATAGGTCCTATAGGACTCCAGCTCCGACCGGCTGCTAGACCCGGACTGGGGGAGAGTCTGAGGGACACACTGCTCGGGCACCTGGGAAGGGATGTCAAGGGATGAGGCCGGGAGTTTAAGGCAAAATGAAAGTGGAGAGACGAATCTCACGTAATTTCATACTTACTTTTTAAGAAAGTGGGATATTTTGTCCTACTTTAATTGGAATAGTGAAGCGCCGGCTTACTTTAATTTTTGCCGTGTTAGGCTAACAAGATGGGGGGTGGCGGACTGCTCCCTCTGCCCCGGATAAGTAAGTAGTTTTGCGGGGCGAAAGTTTAACCGCGAGAGCGACCGCTAAGCAGATGTGCGTCCCGGCCGCCCCTGCACACTCCGCAGTCGCCGCCCGTCGGCCGCCTCCGTTTACTGTTTAAACAACGGCCGTTCGCGGCGCATTAGGAGGGGAGCTGCAGGCAGGAGGGTCGAGGGCGGCTCACCGGCGCCGGGGGCGGCAGAGCTCGCGAGCACCGCGCCTTGCGGATTACCTGCCACCTGAGTGATCAACTCGGAGTGCGGGGGATGGCCGCTCGCGTCGTGTCGCGTGCGCCAACGACAGCGCCGCACACACACAGGGGTCTGTGGAGCAGAGGGGCGCAGCGGAGCAAGTATAAGAAAGCAGAGCAGGGGGAGGGAGAGGGATATAGATATCGTTAAGGGAGCCGGACGGGCGTGAAATGGCGTGATTCTCCTCCGACGCGGCGTGGCGAGGCGAGGCGTGGCGGGGTGAGGGTGTAGGGGGGCGGGCTGCGGCGGCGCCACGCCAGAGGCCGCCCTGCTCCTGCGCCCGCGGACCCGCGCCGAATTATTGTGCAAGTTTTACTGCAGGCTGTGGGCGCCCCCGCCTGCTTTGTGTCTCCTGTCTCCTCCGTTCCGTACCTTGTTCCCAAGGCTGCGGCGGTCGGTACGAACGTACATTGCTGCCGCCGCAGCCTCGAAAATGAAGGACGCCGAGGGAAGAACCAAGCAGGGGCGGCAAAACTTTGTCAGCAGTGAGTCCGATCCGAGCCTGGGGCCAGGGGCCTTTCCTCCGCCACAAGACATTGTTGCTGCTGCTGGTTGTAACCCGCGGATAACTTTTACGTACACGCTGATGCAGTCGTTTTTCACGTTTATTTTTAGTCGTTTGACATATTTTTGTGATATGTAATGCTGTTGTTGCCGGCTTTCTGTACTACAAAAGCGGAATGCACCCAAATAATTACATTTTGACGCATTTTGAAATAATTTGGATTTGCATAAAATATTCTTGAGGGCATCGTAATTTAGGGTGGCCCTTTCTATACAGGGTGGGTGATCTGATTTGCCACCTGGCGGAATAACTTGACTTGACTAACCGCTGCATCGTTGCAAAGATACCGAATCGGAAATAATATTTGTTACCAAATAACAAGTAGCTACTACTTGGTAAGAAGTCGGGCCATTCCGAACATTTTGTTTAACGTGTTCAGTACTTCCGAGCCGGAACGTGACTAAGAGTAGGAGAGTTTCGACCTGAACTCCCTTGCCAAGAGAATCAAGTGTGTGTGTGTGGCCTACACAACACAGCATTGCATTCGACTTCACATCCGCAAACAGGAGCGAAACCCTGCGCCCTGCGTGGCTTATCTGCTTATATATAAGAAAAAGGGAAAAGGGCGAGAGAAAAGTGCCTCTAGTTTTAGAAAGTCTCGCTTCGTTCCTTGGGGAAAGGAGGGCAGAGTGTTCCGTGCAAAAACATAGGGGTAAACAGCAGGTTGGATTACGCGCCGGCCGGGGCAGGGGCGGGCAGGGGGAACGCGTTCACAAATCACGTGGCCCGAGGGGAGAAGTTCTTCCTCCCTATGGCGATATCAGTTGCAAACAAAAGGCAATCATTTTGGAATTTTCAGAGTCCTTCATTCTTTTGCACTAACGTCAGTCTGTACAAACACTGATAGCAATTTTTATCGACCCCTCGGTCGGGTCTGTGAAAGTCCCTCTTCAGCGACAATAACGGCGGTGCGTTCGTCCCCCGTCCACCCGGCAATAGTTGCCGTCATAACCGATTTGGCGTCGGTGGATTTCGGATTTATATATATTCCTATCTACATGGATGGGACCGATGTCCCTCAGGCGCGGTATAGGGGTGAGGGTTGGAAATTATTGTCCTCCGTGGTGGCTCTAGGGAGCCGCCTGAAAGGTAGGCAAGTTGTGCCACAAACCCCTGTAAGTAGGCAACGCACGGTGCACCCCCCACCCCCCCTTCCCCCTGTCGGCCGATGGGGGCCTTGGGGAGCCTTCCGGAGAGGGAGCTAGACGGAGTTGTTCGAGCGAGTTTCCGTTCTAGAAGTATATGGTGACCAATCTAAAATTTTATTCAAAAAAATAAACAAAACACGATGAAGATTGTTCCCGACTCGTATGGGCTCATGTATTTTTCTCAACTCGAAACCTAATGCGTTTGTTGTCGAGTCGGAATCGGAAGGACGCAGGACCCTTCTTCTCTTGCAGTGCGATAGCGATTTCTATAGTCTGTGTGTGTGTGGTGGAGGGAGGGGGCCGCGTGTGGGTAAACCTCTGCTACGGCATCTCATGATGATGCAGGGGTGTGAGATAGGAGCACACCGAGCACAGTGCACAGTACGCCAAGCCCAATTCTGTTGTGTACAGTTGCATTGTGTGTGTGTGTGCTTTAGGGGGGGGGGGCACTCGCTGCAGCTGCATAACTCCCTCGCAGACGCAAGCTTATGCCCACAGATGACTGTAGCTTAGCTTGGGCTGCATCTGGCATCGGGGCCCTGGGCTGGGCCTGCAGCCTGCTTGAGAGAAGGTGAGTCGTATTGAACTCGGCCCGTTTCTGCTCCATGTTGTACAGAACTGTGTGTTGTGTCTCAAGGATTCTGTCCACGTCTCGTCACACATGCGATAAGGCGTGCGAGAGGGGGAGAGAGGGAGAGAGGGAGAAAGAGAGAGCGAGAGAGAGAGAGAGAGATGGAGAAAGAGAGAGAGAGGCTGGAGGGGTAGATGATGCGCACGGGGCACACCTCCCAGGGGAGGCGGTACGTACGTCTCAGGCAGGCTCGGTCTCGGCCCAGAGTGACCCTCACATCGAGTTGAGGACGGCTCCCCCTCACCCCCTTCGCCGGACTGCGGCCAAGTGGAATAAAAGCACCGTATCTCAACGTATCTGCGGCGCTGTCCGTTTTCTTATGCTGAGCGCGGAGCGGGGGGGACAGGCAACAAAGAGACGGCAGTTTGCGTCGTGCATACGAGCAGGAGTGGCAGTGAAAGCCTGGTCTGGTTATTTGCTGCACTCCTTTCCCCCTGATGCTTGCATGGTCAGTAAAGTTCGTTTACACACAAAGTGACACCGAGGAGTGGGCCGCAGGGGCCGCGGCCTGTGCGTTACGATGCGAGCTCTGTGTGCTTCGAACCGCTCTTCGAAAATCTTCCCGTCATCCGACTTCGTTGCTTTATGAGTTTGGGATTCGCGTTTGGGGTTCGTTGTGGAATAAGGCGTATGGGATGTTTCACCTTGCGAAAGTGTTATACAACTTTTTGTGTGAGCAGTATACGTTCGTATACAAGAGGGGGGGGGGGGGGATAGGTCCCGCCAGGGAACGGACCAACAAAGCTAATGTCGGCTAATGTTACAAATTCGCGCCTAGTGACGCCTGTCCGCAACTATTTTCTTTTAATAATGTTTGCGATAGTGTTGGTAGTGAGTTTAACGGACGAGGTGTCTGAGAATACAAAGCTTGCTGACCCATTATACTAAAATTGTTGTCTTATTTTTAATTGTTTTATGGCCTAGTGTTACGCTTAAAAGCCAATGCAGGATCTCAGTCAATAACGCCTCGTTTTTTTATGACCTCTCACAAAATGATCCGACGAATTTTGCAGCTCTGGGCGCTGCCTCTCGTCCGTGACTGTCCAGCGCAAATAGATCCAAGGGAAATTCTTATACATAGATTCAAACCATTCATTTGACTTGGGGCCAGACACTGCAGTGTCTACTCCTGTCCAACACCCTTAGGAATAGTCTTACAATCTACCGACATACACGCGTATTGGATTTCATCCATGCCGAACATGAGTTTAAACCTAAAGTGTCCATAAAATCCGATTGGAAATTTTGGAAAAACCCATCTGATGGGACCGTTTTCGACCTCGTAAACTCCCTGTAAAAAGAATTGATCACAGCTTTTACATTAGGATTCTGCATAACACAAGATCTGATAAATAACAGGTGTGTGTGTGTGTGTGTGTGTGTGCGCGCGCGCGCGCGTGTGTGTTTGTGTGACGAGAGCAGACTTGTACTTACAGGTTCGATCTTGCACTCGCCTTTGGTTTCATTCTTCTTAAAGAAAAGCTCGTAAACAGTAGGGATATGGTCTTTAAAATTCTGACATGCCTTGTCTTTGAAAGAGAAGATAAAACCGTTTTCCTTCCATTGGTTATTTGACCGAACATCTATTACTACTTTTGCCTGTAAAAATAAATATTAATCGTGCAGATGTATGCAATAGTACGCTGTAGAACCAAGTGCATCATAACATCATCTTCAGGAAATATTTCACTAACTTCTTGAGACAGCAAAAGAGTAGAATTCTCCATGTCAAATGAATGACACTTGGTTCAAGTGACCGTGTACACATAAGGAACAGCGTGCTGCAGGCACGTGCTTGTGCGTGCCTGCGGGCACTCTGTTCCTTGTGTGTACATGGTCGACACTTGGTTTTACAGTGTGGCTATTGCTATATCAAATCTCTATAGTCTTAACTACAGTTTGCACTCAGACCCTTCCACGCGGGTATAAATCCCACCATTTATCAGCGTCTCCTAGCCTAGGTTTTTATAGTAAAGGTAGAACCGATTATCAGTAACAGCTAATAACAGTAATGACTTACCCAGCTCTTGTTATCTAAAGGGTATTTTTCGCCAGTTATGTTACCGGTCAGTAGTTGACTTTCTCTTGGTTTAGCTGGGTTGAAGTGAGTTCCACGCAAATGCCATCTCCACGGAAGCGGTTGATTATTTGATTCACACAAGGAAAAGCGTTCGGTGTAAGCAATGAAAGGGCCCTATACGAAAACGAGAAGCGTACAATCACCGTGATCCATAGAAGAAAAGGAACAACGTTTCTACTGTAGAGACATCCTGTGCTCATAACGTAGTACAAATTTGCAGTAGGCCTTCGAAACAGTTACAATAAGGGAGTCACACTTAGTAAGAGGGAGAGAAGAAGATGGCTGCTCGATGCCTGAGCGTAGCGCCGACCTATAACAATGCACAACCTAAACGTAGACTGAACATAAATCGTGATTTTTCCGGCCTAGACATCAGTTAGATTGGTAGTTCATGTAAGTTATCAAAATCTGGTAAAAGCAGATTTATTGATTCGACACGTAATTATAAAGTGCAGCGTTCCACTTTGTTTAGGGTCGACGTTACGCGACGCCAGGGGTTGTAACGACACTTGAATGTGTCATCCCTCTTTCATAGCAAAAACTTGGCATTCTTTACTCGTGCTACCATTCTTGCCCTTGTCTGAAAGAATGCCAAAATTATAGGCAAAATGATCATTTTAACCTCGAGTTTACTGACTGGCGTTTTCCAAAAGAAAAATCCTAAGAAGCAATGCCAAAATTTTCACTAGAAAAGAAGCCACAGCGCTTGCAGTGTTCTACCTAACTTACCATAAAATTGTTGAGAACTTTTCCGTGGATGCCCAGCGGGCTTATGAGTGCAAGTGCCACGATGAATGACATCTTGGAATATACTAGCAGGTTGTGGCTGCGCCTACGGTTCCTTCCTCTATGGAGACCATTACCTACGAGATGCGCCATGCACGGCCAGCGGCGCCGGTGCGACTGGCTGCTGGCGTGCAAAAGCGTTAGCTTGATAAGCGGCAGTTTCGCTAGTCCAATTTGTCGCCGGTTGTGAGGGACACACATCAGTCAGCGCGTGTATAGACTTCAGGCTATATGTTTTATTTGCCTCACGTGAGATGGGCTGCATGAGATCCCGCGACTTGGTAAAGCAACTCAGCTCCTCTGTAAAATAATGGAACTTTTTGCTGTCAGCTCGCTGGTGAATGGAACGCATCCCACGTGTGACATAGTGGTGCCTCACGGCTAACAGTAGCACAGGGAACGTCTCGACCAGGCCCGGAGGACGCCTTTAGCCTGCACTCGCTGTGCCGTGACCATGACTGTCCAGCGCGACGCGGAGTCAGGGAAGCAGCCAGGTGGAGTCCAAAAAAGGGGTCGTTCAAGTACCACGTTCATTTTAGGGGGGTTCAAATATTATAGGGGTCCTATGGACCAGGACTATCATTGAAGTCGATTGAAGAGAAGAAGCCCGTAGCCCGTAATAATTGTACACTGGGGTACAAATATCACATGGGTCTCACTGGACCACAATGATGTTCCTGATTATTTTGGGACCCCATAATATATGTACCGCCCCCCAAATGCCCGTAGCATTTGAATGACCCCTAAACGAGAGGAAGTAAGTGAGGGAGGACAAAGAAAATATTTGACGACTCTGGTTCTGTTCTGGACGGCATCGCGGGTTAACGAGCCTGTTATGTGCCGTACCGTGTGTGATCCAGACCAGAGATAGGCGCTGGCGTGGTGAAGGTGTGTGGCGGACAGCCTCTGGTGGCGTGCAGCTGAGTCGTGGCTTGTGGCGCGCCGTGGCGAGTTCGTGTCACAGAGCGATCGCTTCCGGGCACGAAAGGATCCTGCTGCGCTGATGGCTTTCGCGTATTAAATATGCGCTCGTTGGCTGAAAAATGATCACTAGAGAACTTACTCGTTTTGTGAGATTCCCTGGGGCAGCCTGAGGTTCCAGCGAGGGGCCGTCAACTC